AGTTGAAGTCCACTCATCTTAAAGTGGCCAAGTTTGGACAACACTGCATTAATTTATTAATTAACTGATTGGCTTCCATATAGGTAGGCCTAAGGTATTTGGAGCATTTGTTTCCTTTTCCCATACCAGACAACCTCCATTCTGAGACTGCTTACAGAAACCTTCTTGGCAGGACCTTCTTGCTTGTGGTCCCCCACTTAGGGGGGCCCTGCTCTGGGAATGCAGAGCTCGCCCTCCAACAGAAGGATATCCAGAAGTATAGGGACAGCTTAGAGCAGTGTTTCTCAACCGCAGCCACTTTAAGATGGGTGGACTTCAATTCCCAGAATTCCCCAGCCAGCAAGCAAGGCTGAGCCGGGAACTTGCAAAGAGATCCAGGAGAAGCACGACAAACAGTTTATGGGTTTTTGCCAAGGAAACCGCACACAACATCCCCAGAAATGAAGCCCAACACCATGCTTTCCTCCGCTGGTGAAATTAACAGGGGTTATTGACGACCCAGTCACAGATGCTCAGCTCAGGGGGCGGCACCTGGCTAATTTTTGCCTGGTCAAAAAATAAAGAACGGCTGAACCTGGTTCGCCTTTGGAGGGGAGACTGTGAGGAAATCCCATGGCTGTGGGCTACTTGGGGAAGATGGGGAGTGTCCCAGAGAACACAGCCCAAGCAACCCAGCAAAGCTCAAGGGGGTCTTTTCCTGACTTATGGGCTGCCTTCAGAAGCATTGCACTACAGCTCCCATAACCCTCAGCTGGTACAGCCACTAGCGGCGGGACCTGCAATCCAACCCATCGGGAGGGCCCTGGATTTAGGGAAGGAGATCCACAGGATTTCCACCTTGATGCAGACCAACAGAAGCAATTCACGCCTCCTACTTTCCCAGGAACTTGCAGGGCCAACCAAGCTTCGTGTCTGCGCTGGCCCCTCTTTCCGTCTTCTGGGGTTCCCCAAAGGGGACTGCAGAAGCCCCTCCAGTGTTTGCGGGCTTCCCATCCAGAGCAGGTCTTGCACACCTGGGATCTGGTTGAGAAGCTGATGGTTCCCTCCCTCCCCCAACCCAAGACACTTCACAAGCGTTGCACAACAACTCCCATCATTCTCACCCAGGAAGGGAATGATGGGAGTTGCTATGCAGCACACCAAGAAGGCCCCAGATTGGGGAGAGCTGCTGAAGATGGTCCTTCACCCACCCAGGCGGGTTTTCATCTCCAGCTCTGCAGCTTCTCTGCCCCAAATGGGTGCCACTCAGTGCCAGTTTCCCTGAGTTGGTTCAGAGACCTTGCCAAGCTCTGGTTTACTGACCAAGCCAGGTTTGACCACACCCTAAGCCAGCCTTCCCCACCGTGGACACCCTCCAGATGTTCAGTTTCCCATCCCAGCACTTCCCAGCCAACACAGCCACTGCAAAGAATTCTGGGAGTCAAGTTCCACACCTCTCCCACACTGGGGTAGCTGCCCCAAGCCATGGTTTACACACCACCTGCCTGGCCAGAGAATCAAATCCATCGAACAAGCTGCAACTTGGCAACCCAGACTACTTCTCCGGGATTACTAGCTCGGTTCACCCTCCAGACCCAGCATAAAACAGCTGGGTCACCTGGGCTGGGCTGGGCTGGGCTGGGCAAGCCGACCCATTCTGGCTTGGCGATACGAAAGCAGAGCATTTCCCACAGAGTGCGACGGCCAAAACACACCCACCGCCTTCCACTTGAGCTCCCAATCTAACCCAGTCCTTCTTAACACACAGCAGCCTTCTCTAACCTGGCAACCCGTGCCCCAGACTCTCCCGCCCATCATCCC